TCACGATTTTTTGAGAACAAATAGTAACTGCCGTTCATACAACCGAAATAAATCCACTGTGACATTTTTTGGTCTAATTTGGGCTTCTTCAAAATAATACAATAACTTAAAACCTGAAAATGTTTTACTGTTAAGTCCCAAAAGTAAAATCCATTTGATAAATGATTGCTAGAATTTGAAAATGAAGCGAAGCGAAAAGTTCTCACCCAGAATTATATTTTTACTAAATTTTATGTTTTTAATCTCTAATAATAATAATAATAATATTATTATTATTATTGAAGAAGATTAAAAATATTATTATTATTATTACTATTATTATTATTATCCTTATTATTCAATACATGTACTTCTAACGGAACCTTCGAGTGACGGTTGTAACGAAAGATTTTAATCATTTTCAAAAAATATTTAGTAAATAATAATAATAATTTAAAAATAAAGTATGAAAACTAATTCGATGATTTAAAGTATTATTTCTAGTCAGGACTTCAGAGTAATCTTTTCATTCATTGTCTCCTAGTAATCAGTAACTCAATATTCATTGATAAAAATAACACTTTCAGTTACAGTTATTAAACCTGTCGTTATCAATAATGTTAGTGTTAATTATATCATCATTACTAGTATTATATCATCATTACTAGTATTAATATTAATATTAATATTAATATTAATATTAATATTATTAATATTATTATTATTATTATTATTATTATTAGTATTAGTATTAAGTTTTTAATCTCTATTATTTACTAAATATTTTTTGAAAATGATTAAAATTTTTCGTCACAACCGTCACTCGAAGGTTTCGTTAGAAGTGCATGTATTGAAGTTGCATGAATTCATTATGAATGCTTAATACCTTGAAAAATAAACGGCAAACGAATTCGACCATAGCATCTCTTAATTGGGTAGTGTAAAGAGTCAACACATACAGGAATGGATAAAAATAGCAGTCCACCCATTTTTAAAGAGCAGTGAATTTTTCTAATTTCTCGAATATCAGCAAAGGGATCTCAAAACAAAAAAATAATGCTGACGTGAATTTCCACATTACTTGCTATTTGATAAATTCAGAATAGTCGGTAGAAGACGTGGATGCAGTTACAGTTCTGTCATAAGAATTCATGTCTTAACAATAGAATTTATATTTTTGTTTGTAATATACTAAC